CACCCACCGCCCCCCCCCGAGACTACTCGCAAGCTTGGCCTTTGCAGCGCGTAGCATTGGCAGGAGTTTTAAAGCAGAGAAACCCAGTTCCTAACCAAGATCTACAGTCAAGGCTTTGCTTTATATTTTTAGCAACTGACCTACATCAGTAGCATCTGATAACTGTAAGCCAGGAGAGTTTCTTTTGCCAGAAAGTAGTTAATCCGGCAATCATTTTCTTATAAAAGGAGCATATTGGTTTTTTTTCCTTCATGAGGGTTAGGGATGGATAATGGCAGCGAAGGGAAGCCATGAGAAGGGGTGGGAAGATGTGAAGAATTTGCAAGCATTAAAGGTAAATCAGGTGTTGGAATCAAGTATTTGACCTCAAGTGACGGAAGGCACCTGTCCGCCTCCGTATTGCAGCGACCCAGGGCGTTGCCTTTGGGCAGGTGATTGTTTCGGCCTCAGAGCAGCCCGGCTGCTCAGCTGTGGTTCTATTGTTTGCAGAAACATTGGCAGCTCCATGCATTTGAGGAAAACCAAAGTATGTTCACAGGAAGTTAGGCTCCTGTTCAGAACCCACCCCTCACGTTGAGCAGCCCGTTGCGAAGCTGAGCCCCGTGAGGACAGAGCGAGGCCCTGTGCGTCTGGCCCTCCCAGCACAGAGGCCTGCCTTCCGTGCTCTAGTCCGTGGTTGTCGCCACGGGGCAGGGAGGGTGGCGTTTCCTGAGATGACATTCTGGGGTGATGCGCGCTGGCCTCGTGCTCACACTGTGGGGTCCTCCTTGTCCCCCGCCCTAGAGTCCCTGGAGAAGTGGGAACGCCTGACGGTGGCTGACGCCCTGGAGACCGTCCAGTTTGAAGACGGAGAGAAGATTGTGGTTCAGGGGGAGCCTGGAGACGGCTTCTTCATCATCACAGAGGTGAGCGCTGCCCGTGCGCCCGAGGGGCCCTGTGTGGGGGCCATGCTGCCCCTGAGCGCTGCCCAGGGCACGGAGCGCCCTGCCTGCTCCCCGGCTGCCCTCCCTGCCTCCCGAGGAACCTGGCGGCCCGTGCGCTGTGTCCCCTTCACCAGCCTCAGCCTGGGCGTGCGGGGAGGCCTCACACACCGCCGGGTGCATCCTGAGAGCCAGCCGGTGGCGCCCACGCAGAGCCTGGGCATAGCATGCAGCTGGAGTTCCGCGGAGTCAGTTTTGGGGGAGGCATGCAAATCCAGGGTGTGTGGGAATGCGCCGTTGTCACTTACAATTGCGCGTGAACCTGCAATGATCTCAGATTAAAAGTTGAATTTTAAAAGATGGCGCCAGGTTTCTCAAGTGGACACGCATGAGTCACTTTTCCCATCCTTGAGGGCTGGTGACAGCTGGCTCTGGGGCTGTAATCCGTGGCGGCCACGCCCAGCCTGTCACTGATCCGGGTGAGCAGCTGTTGTGGCCAGTGTGTCCCTCAACCCGGAGCTGCGCCCCATCCGGGTCCCCAGAGAGAAAGCTGCCGAGCAGGGGCCCGGAGGCGAATGCGTGGCCTCTGGCTGTGTGGCCTCCTGACTGCACAGCGCTCAGAGCACATGGCTCGTTTGGCATAGTTTCTGCTTCTCTGGTCCTCAAGGGCGGGAAGAATCGGGTGTCTGGCATGGTGGGCGTTGCCATCAGAGAGAGGGGGCCTCCAGCATGGCAGAATGGTGGCTGCTTGTACTGTCCTTACAGCCGGATGCCTGTCCTGGCCCACGGCCCCAGCCAGAGAGAATGCACATCTGTGCTCTCTCCGTAAAACATGAGCAACACAGATACGATCCCTGGACGTGAAGCGTAGATGTCACGTGTGACTTCAGGCTGGGCTCCTGCAGACACCCTGCCCGGAGGGCACAGTCAGGAGTCTCCTTCCCATGGGGAGCAGGACAGCAGGAGGGGAGGCCCTGGGACACCTGGGCACTGGGGAGGGTCTGACGGGCGGCCGGAGCTGCAGAGCATGCAGTTGGTCACCTCCTGTCCCTCCAGCACTGAGCCTGGGACAGAAGCACTGGGCGAGTGTGCGTGAGCGAGTGGGAGGCGGGCCACACGTGGGGAGTGACGGGCGCCTTCCGGGAGGCTGCGCTCCTCTTTGCGAAGGACTTTCCTGCGAGGGAAGAACCCCCTCAGGCACATGGTTAGAGGGGAGACTCATTCGGCAGCGTTTCTTACGAAGGAAAAGGAAGAAAGAGTAATACCACAGCGAATTACGATTCTGGTCGGTTTAGGCAAGGTACCCACCCAGCATTTTCAGCTCCCACATCCCGGCCGTGACCTCAGAGCCCGCCCCCCGGACCGCCTGCTCATGATGTAAAAGTGACGACTTGCCTTGGGACGTTTCTGAGGCTTTGGCCACAGACCTTTGAGAGGACCCTGGGCCCGAGGCCGGTGCCTGTGCCCCTGCTGCAGGTCAGGAGAGAGCCTGCGGCCTCCCCAGTGGCTTTCAGGACATGCGGGAGCCTGGTCCTTGTGCTCCACCTGCTGCTAAGGCTGCCACTGGACCAGAGAGGTGGGCGACACCTCCCAGTGGGCAGACCCTGTGTGGGCTGACCTGGAGACCCTTGGCCTCAGGCCCCCGTTACTCTGCTGACCTCAGTGTCCTGCCCTCCAGGTGCCGCATAACCGTCTCTGACTCACACCTTGTCTGCCACCACAAAAGTCACCTTGGACAAGATACCCACTCTGGGCGTCTGTGGGCCTGGCATTTTCCACTTGAGAAAATGGTTTGTGCTCAGACGGTGGGAAGTTCCCTCAGCCATCCTGCCCCCAAATGGGCTGGATGGAAGGTGGATGCACTCCCCTCCCGGGACCTGGGCTTTGGTTCTCACCCAGGCAAGAGGACGCAGCAGCCATGACAAGGGGCACCCAGGCTGGGCCACCACCTCTCAGACCCTTGTCCTCCTTGGCGCCCAGCAGCCGTGCTCTGAGACGCCCGCGGGACGTGGCCCATCTCCAGCGGCGCCAAGCTCCCAGCTCCTGCTTGAACATCCAGCCCCAGCCACCAGCCACCTGCGGCCACCGGCTGAGGCAGCCGACCCCAAGTCCTGGGATTGCTCACCGCTCTCACCACCGACATGAGCGCGTGCGTGACGGCCTCTCCACTTGGCACAAGGTGGATGACAGCCTCCGAGCTCCGACGGACGGGGGGCAGAGCCTCCGCTGCCCAGGTTCTCCATCTGTCCTGGAGACCACTCGCCCAGTCTGGCCCAGAGATTAGCTTGTATTGGCCTGCACAGCGGTTTTTGTAAGCATTTGAATAAATTGCCAACATTTGAAAATCTCCACATACAAATCTGGATCTGTCACCTCTCTTTAGCAACGTGGTGTCGGGCCACTCGGACTGGCACGGCACCCGGGTGACAAAGCGCTGCCCGCTCGCCTGGGTCCCCACCTGTCCCCTTGCCTCGTGGGGCCGGCTGTGAGCTACAGCCTCAGCGCTGGTGGTCTTGATGCTGAGGGGACGGGCGGGCAGCCAGTGCAGACGATTGTGCATTGTGCTCTGTGGCCCACGGTCTCCTCCGCCGGGTCCAAGGCCACGGGTAGAAGAATCGTAAGAATGTGTGTGAGAGGCACAGATGGGCGGGGTCCTCGCAGAAAGCAGAGGAGGAGAGCGTTGCCACAGCCACTCACAGAATCAACCGCCATGGCGGGACCTGGACCTGGCGTTTCTGAGCTTAGGAGGTGGCAGGTGTTCGAACCTCGACATCCATGTAATCTGACCACCCCCTGTGAGGGAGGCCCTGCCAGCATTCCTCCCTCAGCAGGGAGAGCCGGCCGACAGGGCTGGTCCTTCGCCCAAGGACACAGTCGGCCAGCAAGGGCCGGGTCCAGCAGTTAGCCCCACACTCGCTCCTGCATCCTGGCAGCTCTGGCTGTGCCGGGCATTCACCACGTGTGTGTGCATGTGCCTGTGTTTGCACATGCATGTGTGCACGTGTATGTGTGTGTGTGTGTGTGTGTGCACCTCACACCTCTGCTCTAGAGTGACACAAACAGTGGGAGCACTGCTCCCTGCATTTCACACGCCTTCCTCCCTGGCTGACACCATATCGCATGTCCTGCTGGCCTGGGAACCTGGCGTCGCTGCTGCTCACCCGTTCAGGCCACCAGAGCCATTTTCATGGTCATCCTCAAGCATTTACCTGGCGCCACGGCCACATGTGGTTTCTTTTTATTCACTGATCTTCCTTTTTGGTGACAGTTGACACAGTACTGCACCGGTGCAGGCGTGCAGCGTAGTGGTTACACGTTTGTACGCTGTAGGGAGTGGCCCCCTGCACGTCAAGTCCCCTGGACCACACGGTCCTGAAGGCCACATCATTCGGTTTCAAGCCACTGATCTCAAGGTGGCACTGGCTCCATCATGAGGGGGCCTCTCCGGGACCTCCTGCTGCCGCGTCCTCACGAGCAGATTGCCAGAGCGGCCCGGAGAGGGACTCGGTGACATGGCAGGCGTGTCCACCCCCCAGCCCCGGTGACCGAGCGCATGCGGTGTGTGGGGCGGCGGGTTCTCGTCCAGGCCGCTGGGTGCAGCCCTGGCTCTGGGGAGGTGCAGCCAGCGCCACAGCACTGTCACGTTGTCTCAGGTGGTCTCCCAGCAACTCGGATTGTTTCTCTTCTCCTCTGTGATCAACCAAATTTGAAGCGTCCCGGGGTCACTCTCAGAACTGAAATTCATCCTCAGCCGTGGCTTCCCCTGTGGCCGGGCGCGATTCCACGGGCCGCCTGTAAAACAGACTCGTAGCATCAGCCCTGTTCGCGTGGGGCTGCCTGACGCGGAGGCTGTGGTGCTGTGGCCGGGGCCGGGCACGCGACTGGGAGGCCACCCACCCACCTGGTGGTCCCGGCTTGGGCGGCGTGTCTGAGCGGCAAGCAGGAAGAGTTAGCGTCATGCTGCAGTTTCAAGGCTGGCGCTGCCCCTCGGGGGGAAAGCGTGAGTTACATCCTTCTGACCTCAGTGCCAGCCAAGTGCTCCATATTTTAGTAAATGGGGAGGAAGTGGGGACAGCTTTCCGCCCTGAAAAGACTGCAGAAAGCGCTGCGGCAGGAGGCCCACTCTGGTTCGAGGTTTCTGTTAAAAGACCAGCTGTGTACCTGCTCGTTTTAATGCTGACTCACAAGCGCTTGGGATACTCACGTGCTCAGCTGGCCCCAGGTTACCTGCTGTGATTGCTAAGTTTACAGGTCAGCTTGGCCCGCCCATGGGCCAGGTGTGGTCAAACACCAACCTGGGAGTTTCTGTGTAGGTGTTTCCCAGGTGTTTTTGACTTTGAGTAAATTTCTCTCCCCATGGTGTGTGTGGGGGGCCTCACACAGCAGGGGAAGGCTTTCTCTGTCAGAAGGACTGAAGCTCCCAGGAAGAGGGGCTCCGCCTGCAGACTGCCTTGGGACTATGTCCCATCCACTCTGCCCCGCCGGCTGCCCGCCTGCAGGGTTTGGACTTGCAGCCCTTGTCGCCAGGGCCGTTCCCTTCACCCCTGCCTGCACCCCCCCCCTCCCCACTGCGTCTGCTTCTCTGGAGAACCCTGACTAACACACCTGTCTCCCGATGCTCCCGGGATAGTCAGGCTGCCGTGCAGGTGGGCGTGCCTGCGGTGGTTGCTGTGGGGTTTGCATGGTCGGTGCCAGGCCTTCCGGTCCAGGCGCACACAGAGCAGAGCTCGCTGGCCGCAGGGTCCGCACTGAAGGAGAGCAGCCTCAGTCCAGCAGAAAAATACAAACTTCTGTCTGGGCCAAGCTGGGAGACACGCTTTTCCAGACCGCCTGGCTGGGCAAGGAGCCACCCTGCATCGGCCGTCCCCGGCCAGGGCCACCTCGGCACAGGCCTGGGCCCTCTGTGCTGACAGGGTGGCCGTGGGCAGGCAGTGTGCTGGCCTGTGCCCAGGGTCACTGGCAACAGGACACAGCAGGAGCTCTTT